TCCGGCGGAGGCGATGTTCCAGTTCCAGCAAATCATGGCGCAATTCAGGGCCTCCAAGTCACCCTTCATCGAGACAATATTCTGATAGGGATGAAAACGTTATTATCTATCAGCTTGCGTGCTTTCAAGAGCCCACTTACCATGGCCACTGTGTAGTCAATGGAGTTGATCTCCTCGCCTTTGATAACCACCAACTGGGTCTCGCCATTCTGGTGGTTCAGAAAGCGCACCACCTTCTCCTTGAGATATTCAGCCGATGCGTAGTCCAGCTTTTGCTTCACATCCACCACGCTCACTTCATGACCATTGATCTGGTAGACAATGATTTGTTAGCTTGTGTAAAATGCATCTAAGATAAGATATAAGATAGGATAAGCTCACCTTCTCCAGTTTGATGTCTACATGGGGACGTGCACTGCTATATAGAATGTATACCATGTTTGCAGCAATGCCACACAGTATTCCATATTCCAAGCTCCAGAACATGCAGGTGATAACAGTAACCACAAAGGGAAAGAGATCCTTCTCTGGAAAGGATTAAGACAGAGCGTCTTAGAAGAAGGCATAGCTACAAAACTAGTCTAGCAAGAACTTACTTTTGGATTTCCACATGTCTTTAATCTTGTGCAGCTCCACTAGCGATATCATGGCCGCTATGATAATTGCAGCCAGGGTGCATTTGGGTATAAAGTAGAAGGTTTGGGTAAGGAAAGCCAGTGCCATGAGCACCAGGGCCCCGGTGACAGCTCCTCCCAGAGGTGTCTTCACCCCGCTGGCATTATTCACAGCCGTACGGGTGAAGGATCCAGTTACGGGCATGGAGAGCACAAAGCTGCCCATGATGTTGCACATTCCCAGTGCCACCATCTCCTGCGATGCGTCTACAATTTTTCCCTTGGCTGAAAATGATGAATTCCTTAGTATTATTGCTTTAGAATGAGTACAAATTGTGCCTACAAAATGCCTTCGATATGGCTACTATTTCTAGGATAGAGATTAAGGGAATGGAACCCAAGGAAGCGCCAACAGTGCTGAGCATCTCGCCGAATGAAACGTACTCTCCATCTACAGTGGTGCTAAAGGGGGGCAGCCGGAAGGGCGGCACTCCGGCCGTAATGTTCCCAGTGACCCGGAAGGGCTGATGTCCATCTCGACTGAGGATATAGGCCAAAAAGGTGCCAAAGATTACAGCCAAAGCGTTGCGGGAAAGGCCGAGGTACTTCCAGAATATGCGGTTGCCCCATTTGATGTCTTTAACACGCTGAAAATGGATAAAATTTAGAAACTGGTTAGCTTTATACATAATATATAAATAAATAATATTAAACAATAACTAAAATAAACTAAGTAAACAAAGCGAACAAATTGCTAAAAGCCAAATAATATGCTGAATCTTAAGGTTTTTAACCCGCAAACAAGTGTGTGGTGTATTTTAAAATCAATCGATCGGCTGCAATCAATTGTTTGATTGATTTAAATTGATATCAACATTTAATGAAATTGCGTTTTTATTTCCTTCTCACCGTCATGAGCAGCAGGAACACCAGAGATGAGACACCCAGCAGGGCATCCCAGACCCTAAGTGACGTCAAGTGGGTGAAGAAATTCTTCCAGGCGGGCAGTAAATCATTTGAAGGACCTGTGGGCAGTGCATTTATGTTTCAGGTAGAATAAGATTGCGAGAAAATTATAAATTTCTGAACTTACTGGTCAGACCCACGATGTTGTTGATCTGGGCACTACCAATTGTGGTGGCTGCCGCCATCGTGAAGCCAGTGATCACGGGAATCGAGATAAACCTGACCAGTACACCCATGTTGAGCAATCCAAGAAGAAGTACAGTGCAACCAGCTAGGAAACATACCAGCACCGCGTAATCCGGACTGATGGTGGCATACTGGTTGACCATTAGGGCCATGATGGCGGTAGTGGCTAGTGGATGTTGTGAAATTAGCACCGATACCAGATCCCGGCCCATACGAACTCTTTACTCACCAATTGTGACATCCTTGCAGGAACCAAACACGATGTATGTGAAGCAGCCCATGAAGGCGGAGTACAAACCGTACTGCGGCTCCAGACCGGCTACCACTCCGTAGGCAATCGCTTGGGGAATGGTTGTTAAGCCCACCGTGAAGCCCGCTATGAAGTCCTGCATGATGTACTCCAATCGGTAGCGAGGAAGCCATGTCAGGATCGGGAACTTGTTGGTTACGGTGGACGGACGACACAGCTTGCGACCGCCATCCCTGATAAGCGAGCCCACATTGGGCAGTTGCTCCCGGTACAGATTATCTGCGAATCCAAAACAAGCCTTAGATGAAGAGTTTTTATGTGTGCCAAGATAACCCCTCCCCGTACGGCTAATCTTGCCTGGCAGCAACTTGTACGTACATCTGTCGATCAGACGTTCATATTGACTTTGGGCTGGTCATCTTATCGCCTGATAGCCTGGACTACCCCACGCAGATAAGGCGCATTAAGATACTCTTTTAAGAATTGGCACGTATTTTATACTGCAAACCACTTTCCCACCGGGGCAATCGCTGGAGGCGTATAAATCAACTGACCCTGACCGCCGTACAGCTTCCGGAAAAACCGTGAAACAGTTACTCACCCTCATCGGCTCTCATCGCGGGTGGCTCTCCAGCTTTAAACCGGCCTTAAGTTCCGAGAACGATAGGGAAACCGGCTGTTAAGCAATGGGTATAATCGAAACCGGGGAGCAAATGCGTCCGCTCAATATGCTGCTCCGAACGCGACTGCCGCTCTGATCGCCGTCGTCCAACGGCATTAGAGACCGAAAGCAATCGCGTTCGCACACTCTGGCCATATAAGATTTACAAGCGCAGGTACCGGTACCACCATATCTGGTTCGCTCTGTTAGCCCGGTGATAAACAATTACAAAGGCAACCTTCGTGTTTGGCTAACGGCATGGCCGGCTTATTGATATAAAGAAAATAATTACAAGCTAATCAGTGGGATTTGGATATTTGTTGCAACTACTACTCGCTGCTCTGCCAGATTTTAATGGCAAAAGCATTCTGTAGGGCTCCAGTGGCAATCACATTTGCAGTGGGATGGCAATGGGTGCACAACACCTGGTCGCCCTCCGTGCAGGCCTTTTGGACCAGCTCCTTCGTCTGCAGATTCCAGATGCAGAGCGTATTGTCCTCGCTGCCGGAGACAATCCACATTCCGGCCGTGATGGAAAAGTTGGAGGTCAAGCAATAGGACTCATTCACATGGCCGCGATAGACCCTCAGGCACTTGGGCTTATTGTAGTTCCATAGCTTAAGGGTGTTGTTTAGCGTGGCAGACAGGATGTAGCGGCCGTTCGGTGAGAACTTCACATATCCGACCGGGATGTTGTCAACGTCAACGAGAGTCTTCAGCACATGTCCGGTGCTTGAGTCCCACAAGCGCACTAGTCCATCAAAGCTGCTGGTGACAAAACTACTGCCATCGCTGTTGAAGTCCACAGCGCTTATGGGATCCTGATGGGCAGTGACGATTTTGAGGGTTTTGCCAGTGCGGACATCCCAAAGGCGCACTGTATTGTCAAAACTAGTGGTGGCCAGCAGATTGGCCTGCGGATTAAAGCAGCAGGAGAAACTGAAACTACAGTGCCCCTCCAGAACTTTGACGCAAAGCTGGCTGCGAGTATCCCACAGACGCACGGACTTGTCATCGCTGCAACTGGCCAGTAATCCAGCCGCCGACCAGGCCACATCGTTGACTCCGTATTCGTGCCCGGCCAGCGATTGAATACATTTGGTTGCGCTCACGTCCCAGAGCTTCAGGAGCATGTCGACGGAGCTGCTGACCAACCTCTCGCCATCCGGACTGAACTTCACAGCCGTAACGCAGCCACTGTGACCGAGGAGCGAGCTCTTAATGGCATAGCCCGGAGATAAGGAGTTCTGCCAGAGGAGCTGGCTGGGTAGTATCGGCATCTTAAAGGAATTGAAAGCGGCCTCCGTGATGGCGGTTTCCGTTTCGGGATCGCCAGAAGCGCCTGTCTCAGTTAATTCCATAATTGTATTCTTTCCGCCTTAGACGAAATGCTTAAGAAGCCTGTAAAATATTCGTAAAAGTACTAATGTTTTATAGCTTACGAATGACAGTTCCTTAACTTCCAAAATGGCGCTGACATTTTGTAAAAATAGTTTTCATCGTCCTGCCAACTTTACCCGATTATTTTTGGCGCCTAATTAAAGTGCCCCTGAGCCCCTTTTTATTTTCTAATTTTCAAGTGAAAAAATGCACATGAACTCGTAATTTTAAAGAGCGCGACATTTCTATTCATTAAAAACTTTTTACAATAGTATTTGCCAAGTACACACAATTGTTAATTGTTTCTCTAACTACTTATAACTCACTTAGTCAATATTTGTTTGAATTCCCAGACGGGGGCCGTAAAAATCAGACTGGGAAAAGGTAAACAAGTGCAATTAATTTGCGTTTTAAGGGAATACTTATTTGGCGACAGGGTGCGCTATTTGCGCAGCCTGGTATGGATATGCTACCCAGACTTGTTAACCAAACATTAAACAAATGGCTGGTGCTGTGCCGCGCCGGTAATTTGTCACCTAATTATTTGTCGACGCTGCTAATCTTACAAATGCATGAGCGAAATTTAAGAATGCTCGAGAATAAAGTCAGTGAACTTAATATTTGCATGATAACTTAACAGGCCCCAATGTATCAACCAAACTGTAGTTGGTCATTTTTATTTTATTTTTATTTTTATAACCTATCTTTTGGTAAGAGTTTATCATTATGGTAAACAAAAATTAATTTGGTGCATTTTTATACTAAAAGTGTGTGCTAATACTAGTTTGATTACTACATTTTAAATCATTTTTTTTAGAGCTGGAGTATACTGCTTGCGTTTTTTTTTTCCTTTGTTGAAATTTCTTATTATTATTTAAACCTGAATTTGTACATTAAATGTTATTGATGGTATATTGTAACGGAAAATTAAATTGCTCGACGGTCACACTAAGCAGTGTTGCTGCCTGCTGTCATTTTAAATTCAAGTAAAGTTGGCAGCCCCCTAGCGTCTGAAAAATTGCGCGGAAAGGAAAAAAATCTATAAAGTGTCGCTCAAACCCAGTTAAACAGCGCAAAATGGACAGCAAAGAGGTTTCGGAGGTGCCAAGGCGGGAGGTGCGCTCCTTCCTGATGGCCCGGGATCCCTCCATCGACCGCCGCTTCCGTCCGCGACCCAACAAAAAGATGCGCCTGTTTGACAACATTCATGAGTCGGAGGAGGAGAGTTTCTCTGAATACTCGGACACAGAATCGGACTACAAGTACCAATCGAGCGAGGCAAATGATGGTGCCTCCTGCGCCACCAGTGTGACAGACAGCAGCAACGTGGAAACGGGGCCGCAGGTCTTCCTGCGCCTGCGTCCCGTGAAGGATGCTTCCAAAGCCTACATAGTATCGGAAGACGCAAATGTGTTGATTACCAGCTGCAAAGTGGACTCGACCAGCAACAATGTGAACCGCATGGAAAAGCACTTTGGCTTCACTTCCATCTTTGACAGCACCGTTGGCCAGCGAGACATCTACGATACCTGTGTGGGTCCTAAAATCATGGAAGAAGAATGTGTGACCATCATGACATATGGCACATCGGGCTCTGGAAAAACATATACCTTACTGGGTAAGCAGAGTAGATTTTCAAATCGTTTGCTGTGCAATTGCTAATTTCAATCCATTTTGAGGCGATGATGTGCGTGCTGGAATCATTCCGCGTGCTCTGGAAAACATATTCACCATTTACCAGGACACCATATTCCGCTCACCCAAGCTAAAGCTGATCAATGGCAGCATCGTGTTTTTGCAGGACGACGCATCGCTTAAAGAGCTGCAGATTCGGAAAAAACTTTTAGACTTATGTCCGGATATCAGTGCACACCACCAGCGTCTAAAGCAGGTAATTGATGGCGATCACGTGTTCGAGTCGAAGGCTTCCGCCGACGTTTTCGTCTTGGTTTGGGTTTCCTTCGTGGAGATCTACAATGAACTTGTGTACGACTTGCTAGCCATACCGCCGAAACAGGACAAGCTGGGAGAAGTGCCACGAAAAAACCTGAAGATCGTGGGCAACAAGGGCCATGTGTTCATCAAGGGCCTAACCAGTGTTTTCGTGACGAGCAGCGAGGAGGCGTTGCGTCTGCTCCGGCTGGGCCAACAGCGATCCACGTACGCCTCCACCTCGGTGAACGCCAACTCCAGTCGGTCCCACTGTGTATTCACTGTAGACATACTCAAGTACAATCGGTCGGGCATCACCACGCAGAGTTCTTACAAATTCTGCGACCTGGCGGGTTCGGAACGCGTGAACAACACGGGAACCTCTGGCATTCGTCTCAAGGAAGCAAAGAACATAAACACTTCACTGATGGTGCTAGGTAGATGTCTAGATGCGGCCAGCACAGTGCAGAAAAAGAAAAACGCGGACATCATTCCATATCGCGACTCCAAGCTCACAATGCTGCTGCAGGCGGCTTTGTTGGGCAAGGAGAAGTTAGCCATGATCGTGACGGTTACGCCGCTGGATAAATACTACGAGGAGAACCTGAACGTCCTGAATTTTTCTTCCATCGCCAAGAACATCATCTTCAAGGAACCCGTAATAAAGCAGCATCGCGTAAGCTACTGTGGTTTCATGGAATTCTCGAAGATGTCGACATGTGAGGGCGGCGACTACACCAAGGAACTTGAGGACGAAAACGTTCGCCTACAGTTAGAGATTGAACAACTGAAGTACGATCATGTGCTGCAAATGCAGCTGCTGGAGGAGAAACTGCGAAGGGAACTGACTGCCACGTACCAGGAGATAATCCAAAACAACAAGAAGCAATATGAAGACGAATGCGAGAAAAAGTTACTTATTGCGCAAAGAGAATCGGAATTTATGGTTAGTGAATGCGGGTAATACAATAATACAGATAAAACTATAAACAATATATTTTACAGCTTTCCTCTCAAAAGCGACGCTATGAAGAGCAAATAGAAGACCTCAAAGATGAAATAGAGGAGCTTAGGAATCCCGCGAGCGACAGTGACATTTCTGATGAACTAAGTGACTCAAAGTATCCCATCGAAATCATCGATGATGATTAGATTCCTTTATTCACAATTTTTAATTTGTTAAGTGTTAAGTGATTTTTAAATTTAAATTTGAATCTTGATATGTTGTGTAGAGTTGGCCAAGTTTTTCAATAAACATGTAAAGGATCAGCAAACTAGTGTGTGATACTGTGCCAAGAAACTTCGAGCAAGAAGACCAGCATCGCAATTACCATGAACGTTCCGTACGCCTGCCACATCCACTGAAGATCCCCAATCCGTAGCGAGGTAGGGTGCACTCTTTCCTTCAACTGCAGACTGGGATCCTCCAGACTGGACAATCCAGCTGCTGACATGTCGTAGTAATGCATTCCCACCCAGAAATCATAGAGTCCATTGGCATTAACCTCCAGAATCAGTTGGCTGACGGGCTCTGTGAACAAGGAATTCTGCGGCCATTGGAAAGAAAGCAGCGCCAAGGACCATAGGCAGTCATCCGTGGAGTAGATAAACAGCTCTCGGGTGAAGCGCTTCTGCTGCTCACTAAACAAGTTCCAATACAATCGCGAGGCAAAGTAGGAATTGCTCGAATTTCTTCCATTTCTTAAGTGATTGTACTCACTGACATTGACTACCAGCATGGGAACATGCAGATTCATCCATGTGGGAAAGTCTTCTTCGGTCGTAACCAGCGGAATTTTCGTGCGCCGAAGATCAGCAAAACTACGTGCTTGAAATTGCCGCGGTGGATGAGCCATCAATGTGTCCAGTGCTGCTCCAAAAATGCTGCTCACATTAAGGCCCACTATTCCCAGCATCAGAAATATAAACCTGGTGGAAAAGCTTCTCGACATGGGCAAATTGAACGATTGGCCCAAGATGCCGCGTAAAGCTTTATCATTTAGCAGAAAGTCCACCAGATGCACATCGCGATGAGTCAACTTCCGGAATAGGTTCAAGGCCAATCCATAACTGAAAACAATAACAATAGCCAGGAGCATATTGGAAACACTGCTCAGGATAAAGTAAATATCCTTAATTGGAATTTTTCTGGCCACCGGGACCATAAGGCAGACGTGGGTCACCTCCATGGGATAGCTTGTGCTGGCCAACTGCTCTACTCGCTCCATTATCGTGAGACTGGCAGGAACATCAACTGAAAAGCTCTCGCTCAGCTCCTTGAGGGCAGACGCATTCAGAAAGCGTCCGATGGTCACCTTCTTGGACAGCTGCAGCGTGGCGTTTAGCTTCCATGACAGCACATGAAAAAAGCGGCCTACAGATCCGGCTAGGACTTGCTTACCCGTTCGTCTGTCCACGTAAAGAACAGAACGAGGAAGCCATTGGTCTGGCATGACAATCAGAGGGTGACCTTGCATGTTGGGAAAACCATTGTCAAATATGGTTGAAGATTCAAGGGCGCGGTGCTCCATTCGAAAGCTAGGGTATAGGTTATATCTATAAAAGTAGAGATGTTCATCTGCGGCTAAAAGTCCAACTACGTTCCAAATTCGGCGATGGTAGCACGTTTCGAAAATATGGTCCATTCTAGATCGATTTGAGAATCTATTCGATATGTAGACTATCTTCTTCTGACTCGGAAAATCGTTTAAGGAATTAGTAAAGTTTTCCATTAACTCAAGGTCCTTTTGCAGCTCATGTCCAGGTAGGCAAACTACGTGTAGCGGTCGAGAAAACTGGCGAATGTTTATAAAAGTCTCGCTATCTGAAAGGACAACCACTGGAATGGTTTGATTCTTAAAGATTTCCTTTTCCCAGGTGTGCGGACAGTAATTAGTACGGATTATTATCACAGAAAGTGAGTGATCTGCTGCTGCTCTAAAGATGAAGTCCACAGCGGATCCCGCAGCTAGGAAGGGTGTCCAATAAACTATTGCTGTTAGCACAGTCCACATGTCCTTTCAATTCTGTTGTTCATCAAAGTAAGCTCCTTTATTTATATCGCACGGGAACGGTTCCAACTTCAAAGGGAATGCTTCGTCAAGCGTTTCACGCCCTCGATGATAAAACACATTTCGCTTTGTTTGTAATATGCATATCTCAAAATATGTATTCTTTGTTATTTTGTTACACTTGCTAAATAGTTAATGGTGTGTGTTCGTGGGAGGCGAGCAAATCAAATCGATGTGCTTGCTGCCCCTTACATTTAAGTTGTTTTACAATTATTTGTCCGTTTTCCTGCTGCAAATAAACATTACAAATAAATAGGTATATATGCATCTTAATTATACGTGTTTTGTGTGTATATATGTCTGCTTTCTCTAGGTACTTAAGTCATGGTGAATGATAAACCAATTTCCAATTATAAATTAGAAAGATTATAGGATAGATTGCACTTAGAGGGTTGGGAGATTCTAAATTTGAAACGAAGTACTTCATGGAGATCGCCTGTAAACCTAAGGTAGAATCATTAGCCTAAACACAATGTTAATTTGAACTAAACGGAATGTTAATAGCACATAAAGAATGTCATGAGATTGATCTACTAACAAAGTTAGTCGGGGGTTATAACAAAACAAATAAATTAAAATAATCGTTCAGGGGAGCTCAGATAACGCTGCTTAAATTTGACCCGGCTACAGATCCGGGGCTGTTCTTCTGTGGTGTTTTTGTCGGCGTCGTTGTCATGGTTATTCCATTTGATATCCCAACGTCAAGCAACTGCATCAACCTTTGTCGAGTGCGTTTATCGCTGACACAAATGCACTGAATAAGGTTGTTCAATTGTTTGATAGAGTATTCATCGCCCATACGCTGCTGTTCAATCCATTGCTCGAACTGTTCGGGCGCAAAGTAGTAGGTCTTGATGAACACATCTACATAGGAGCGATGCTGTGGGTACTTTTGGTTTGATATGAGCTCTAGAAACGACATGAAGTTCGCAAAGTCTAGTTGCATAAGAGCTCGTCCTCCGGCAGAGCATTTCTTGACATTGGAGAACCTATAACATAATAAACACTATACTAATTCCGTTCCTTCTGAGAAATAGAAAATTAGAACATACCCCTCCACCAGCAGATGTGTGGCCACATGGGCCATTGAATTCCACACTTGCTTGCTGGGTACTGGAACCTCCTTGGCGATTTCCTCCAGACACATGGCAAAGCTTTGTATGTTCTGCATATAAATGTGCTTAATTCGTGTGGACTATTAAGCAGAATTAAGTATTGCCTACCCTATTTAGAACATCACTGTAGTTGCTGTGTTGGTGTATCACATGATTAACATCCCATTTGACCTTGGTCATCTGAGTCAGAATGGATGACAAATCGATGACATGCGACGTGACGCATGTGTAAACGGGTTTCGCCAAATCCGCAATATAATCGCTGTAGTCCAGGTAATTGGCCAAAATTGGACGCTCTGCAAGGGGCAGCAAATGGTTTAGATAGTGCTGAAGTATGTTGAATTGCTGGAGCATGCTGCGTCCTGCTTCCACGGCCACTATGCGTTGTGCCAGTCCGTATAAAGTATCCGGATTAGCTAGCTCATTATTTGCCTACGAAAAATGTTTTTAAGAAATGCAAGCTCTAGAAAAATATCACATCAAATTACCAGAGAAGAAAAATTAAGGGGCCAAAGCTTGATCTGGGGTAGGACGTTAACCTCCACCGAGCGTAAGCGTTGCTCAAGTCGTTGAGTGTACATATTATCCGTTGCTACCGGCTGGAAATGTTTACAATTAATATACAATTGATATACATGTATTCAAAAGTTATTTTTATATAAATATTTACCGCATCTTTACCGAAGATCTCGTGCACTGCGTAAACATAAAAGTCAATGAGCTCCAAGATGCAAGCCACAATCTTGGGAGAGATGCAATGCAATAATTTGCACATCTGCAGATATCTTCCAATGACGCGCATCACATTTAGCGCGGTATTGTTAACCAGCAGCTGACTAAAAATATTTGCATTGATTACGATTTCGCGGTAAAGAAAAACATGATAATATTACTGGCTGGCGTCATCGAACTCCTTGCTCTGCAAACTTTTCTGCTCGTCATCGCTCTCCTCGCTGAAATAACAGGAGGCCTCGTCCACAATGCCGGATAAGATGTCCTCCTCCAACATTGCTGCGTCCAAGCCGCCATCAAAAGGCGAACTTTTTTCGGAGAATCTAAGAAAATATCCGTAGGAACCGTAAATGGAGCTTCCACCATCCTGGGAGTGCACTGAAACCAGCTCATCGCAGTTATTATTGCTGATTGGGGAGTTGTTGGATGAAACCAGCAAAGCAGTTGTAGGAGACTTATGGCGTCTGAGAGTGTGCCGAACCGATCGGAATTCCTACAGAGAATTATATATGGATTACCTACCAGTCGCTTTAATATTGTTTGTTTACAAATTACTTACAGGCAATTGCAGGATATGCGCAAATGAGTCAACTTGCGTCCAAGACTCGTTATCCAAAAATAAACAGATCTCCTCGATGCAGCAGATATGGTAACGTCTGAAGAACTCCTCACTCTGCTGCTGCATCGTCTCGATCAACTTCTCCGACTGCTCGCCGCAAAACTCTAGACCCACCTTTTTTAGGCGCTGTACCACAGACAGCACCTGGATAAACTGATCGTATTTAAGAGTCGTCAACTTTGCCGATTGCAGGAACAAGCACACTTTGGTCAGAATGTCATTCCACACGCGTGACTGTCCTTTCTTAAGTTTCTGCTGGATGTAAATATCTGGTGAATCCTCCTCCTCCTGTGCATACAACTTGTAGTTAGTGTGCCACATAACAACCTGGTAATAGGAGGCCAGGATGGTCCAGAAGGTTTTGCACAAACTGATTAGACAGGGCAGCAGCTTATCCACGCTGAGCTGTTCGCACAGCTGCTCATAGAGTGGTTTGGCTTGATCATCCTGGCCAGGATCACTATAACCGCGAAGCACGGCATTCACAGAAGAGTGAATAGCCGAAATATAGTTGATGTGCAGCTGGTCCATGGCCATCAGTGACTTGTTTGCCAATTTGTAGGCCTCCTGCAGCTTGGCGTATTTTCGCCCATCAAAACCTAGCACCATTTCATTAAGCACAGTGTCCAGCTGAAACTCCATAAGCAGCATAGTCTCCTGCAGCTTTTTAGAGAGCGATTGCACACAGTTAAACTGCATGTATGCTTCGGCGGAGCTCTTGCACTGCAGGAGCAGAGCTATGGCAGCGCTGTAGTTGTGATCCGCTAGCAGCTTCTGTACCTCCACGTCGGTAGTGCGCTGTAAGATATTGTATGTTATTCAAATTGACTGCAGAAACATCAATCCTTTTCTGACCAGTTTCTTGATGGCCACCAGTGTGTCCAACACCTCCTTGAGCACCTCTCGCTTGCGGTAGCTGGCTAAGATCTCCAGGCTAGTGGTTGTTAGGTTTGTGCGAGCAAAGTTTAAATAGGATCGCGCCTTCTGGCAGGTCCACAGCGACTCCTCCAGCTTCTTTTGGGTGTCATTGATGGCCGCGAACTCACTGCTGCATGCATTCCGCTGCTCCAAGATGTTCTGCAGCACCTGTTTGGTGAGAACCTTCTGCTGTGTACGCAATTGTGCAATGGTGACCTCGATAAGCTCGTTGTCTATGCCATCGTTGAGAACTTTCTAAGGAAGATCGTGGTGTGTAATTAAAGCCATAGCTTACTGGTCTACCTGGTTTACCTTGAGCTCGTACAGCTGTGGATTGCTGTCGGGGTTGTAATAGCACTGTTCAATGCTCTCCAGGATCTCCTGGTCCGACTTTTGTGCATTTGTCTCGCTGGAAGAAGTGGCCGCCGCGTCTGTGGCATCAGTTTCTTGACTGGCAGAGGCGTCCGTGGTCACCGTTTGGATGAAATAATCCGAAAATCCCATGGCAGGAATTTTCATTTGACGGTTTGTCTTTGTGTGCGTGAGCAGTATTTTGTTTGGTGGACAGAATGCATAGCAACGATGTTAGTTTTGGTAATTATTGAAATGTTCGATGACCTGCTACCTGTTTGTGCAATATGTCCAAGAATTTGCTCTTGAATTCGTCCATTTTGGCCTTGGAATTCTGCATGTTTCAGCCATGAAGAAACCAGCCAAAACACAAAAACGACTGCAGCCAAGTGTGACCAGCATCCGCAAGCAATGCCAAAGCTACATTTAGTGTTAGATAAGAAATACAATTTGTGTACCTAGAAAATAGGTACATAATTGTCTACTGACTATTTGTTAGGAACAACATTTGATTTATTGAGCTTTATATATATAATCGCGTCACATTTTAAATGTTTTAATATATATATGTTATTCAATGTTTTATTCAATCAAAAATTCGAACCTAGTACCGGAGCACTTCCCTTCGTCTTCCAACACTAGACCATCGAACACTTTTTGGCCATTGTGCACACTGCTGTTTTCTGCTTGCCGATTTTGTTTAACTTATTGCACATATTTGTTTATATGTGGAATGTCAAATTACTGGAAACCGCAAAAGCCAAAGAGTGAAAAATGCGTATCTGCATGGTGTCGGACTTCTTCTACCCGAGCATCGGGGGGGTCGAGGAGCACGTCTACAACCTTTCGCAAATGCTGCTCAGCTTGGGTCACAAGGTGACTATTGCCAATTGGGCGGACCAAGAATGATAACGATTATTTGAACTGCCTATCTCTGCCCATTAGATCGTCGTGCTGACCCACGCCTACGGGGACTGCAGTGGCATTCGCTATGTGACTGGCTACCTTAAGGTCTACTATCTGCCCATTAAGGTGTGTTACAACCAATGCATACTGCCCACCGCTGTCTGCAATGTGCCGATGCTGCGAGCAGTGCTCGTCCGGGAGCGCGTGGAAGTGGTCCACGGCCACTCTGCCTTCAGTGCTCTGGCCCACGAGGCACTGATGGTGGGCTCCCTGCTGGGACTAAAGGTGCGGAGCATGCAGCACGGAACCTATAGTTAGAATCGCTAATGAATCATACTCGTTTTTCAGACTGTCTTCACCGATCACAGCCTTTTTGGCTTTGCGGACTTGTCAGCCGCTCTTACCAACAATCTGCTCGAGGTCAACTTGGGGATGGTCAATCACGCCATCTGTGTATCTCACATAGGGAAGGAGAACACTGTTTTACGAGCTCGAGTAGCCAAAAATCGAGTTTCCGTCATTCCCAATGCAGTGGACACCGCCCTGTTTACTCCTGATCCTCAACAGCGACCGAGCAATGATATAAGTATGGTCCATAATCTTTTAATAATATTTTGAATTATCATATCCCTACTTTTTAGTCAACATTGTAGTGGCATCGCGTCTGGTCTACCGCAAAGGAATAGATTTGCTAGCTGGCATCATTCCACGGTTCAAAAACACTCCTAACGTAAACTTTATCATTGTGGGCGATGGACCAAAGCGTGATCTGCTGGAGGAGATTCGCGAAAAGACCAATATGCAGGAGAGGGTTCAGATGGTGGGCGCCGTGGAGCATGACAAGGTTCGCGATTTCCTGGTGCGGGGCCACATCTTTTTAAATACCTCACTAACTGAGGCCTACTGCATGGCCATCGTTGAGGCTGCTTCCTGTGGATTGCAGGTGGTATCCACCAGTGTGGGCGGAATTCCCGAAGTACTGCCCCAGAGCCTTATACTGTTGGCAGAGCCCGAAATTGATGCCATTTACGCTGCGATTTTAATTGCCATCGACCGACATCAAAAGAGTTCCTTTAAGGTTAGTCCTCCAGTTGCCAATGGTCATCTACCTTCGGATGCGAATGGAAAGGTTAAGCGGCGACGTCGCAGGAAAGCGGATACCCCTACCTATCCTTCACAATTGCCATCATCCTCTGCTCCTCCTGCGGATCAGAACAGCCCTGCTGAGCCCGTTATGTGTCCATACAGATGCAATGAGTTGGTGGAAACACTCTACAACTGGGAGGATGTTGCCCTCCGCACAGTCAAAGTATACGATCGCGTTTTACAAGAACGCTCTTTCACCACTAGCGAGCTGGTATTTGCGGTGTGGCAGCACGGCTCCTGGTTCCTTGTATTCTTTGTTGTGGCCCACTTCTTGATGCGCCTACTGGAGCTTTGGCGACCTCGAAAACGCGTTGAGCTAGCGCAGGATATACAACGCACGCCCAGCTAGCAAAGACCGAACGGAATACATTCTTCCAATAACTAGCCAATTATATATTTATACGTTAGATTTTATAACTCTTGTTGATTTTATTTCTTGTCCATAGTAGAGTAGTAGAGCTACTGTCAGCTTTAAAAACAATCTGATATTCCATTCTTATGATTATAACCCAAACGGCGCGGCTGACTTTCGTAGATAAAATATTCCGCCCACAGAAATGTTTATATAAAGGGGGCTGCTTTGTATATCCATTTCATTCTAGAGAGGCATTGATCATATTGGTTATGGTTATTTGATCATAATGTAATGTTGTGGACATTTGCACGAAGCTAGGCTCATAAAGACTGCTCAACGAATTATTATTTATACTGATAGAAAGCCAATTAAAATACCGTATGGTGTAATATGCTCAATAGAGATAAGCTTTTTTGATAACAAAAACAATAGAAAGAAACTACAAAAATTCCTGATCATGCAAGATAGAAATAAAAAATAAAGAAAACAGATTAAAACAATCTATTTTTTTTTTATTTAATATGCCACAATCCTGCAATAAAATCATTGAATTTGAAAAATTGAATTTATAAAATTAAATTAAGGAAACCAAGCCTTAGTTTAACATTTCACACTAAATGTAATGTATTATTTACAAAGCCATGACAAGTCTAGAAATCAGATATTGTGCATCATAAATTATTTAACAAAAACTATTAATATATTTTTATATTAAATATATATCAATCTTTGAAATAATAAAATAAAAATACCGAAAAGAACAAAATCCGGTCCACAGAGTGTCTGGCCATACTGCGATGCAGCCCTGGCCCTTATTTAGGAAAAAAAATTAAGAGGGAGCAGCAGCGGAGGCTGATGATAAATTAATTAGCCACAGCTACCACATAACCCAGGGTGCGGAAACCTGTACCTAGCTCTGCGGCACATCCATTACCATCGCTAGCACCTCGGTTGCCGTCCAGGTCAAGGTGAGCATCACTTGGAAGTCCGACATTGACTGTGGATTTGGCATTGCACTTTTCAGATTCTGTTACCAACTCAGGGTAACGACGATGGCGGAACTGGTGAGGGACTGGCTGGCGGACTACCAGCGAATACGGGGTCAGCCCTCGGAGGCGGAAGCGTTCGTTGTGGAGCACGAAACTGATCCCGAGATCGCCGAAGCCATATTTACCATCTTTAACGAGCGCCAGCGCAATGAGGCGCTGGTGCACGACATCTGCCAGCAGTTACTGGCCTTCTACCGGTCGCCGGAGCAGACGCTGCACAAGTTCCCGCTGCAGTTCATCCCTGTGCTTCTCTACACATACCTCCACTCGGTGGCCGGCGGCGATAAGAAGGCTGCTCGCGGCGTGGAGACGCTGCTCATCTGCATTTACAATGGCGAAGTGTCCACCGAAGACGGCGGCCAGAAGGTGGTGTCCTTCCGCATGCCCATCCTGGCCCAGACGTCCGTTTACCACGAGGTAAAAAACCTGCCTATGACGGATCTGCGCCGTTGGGAGGAGAACTGCAACCGGGAGGTCAAGTGGGGTCCACACCAGCGCATCGAATCGATTCATGCCCAGAACCGTATGCGTATTCTTACTGCTTTGCTGTTCTGCTACAACCAGCAGGTCAGCCAAACGCAAAAGTCTTCGCTGTTGCACTTGTGCCGTGTCACCTCGCAGCTGGTGAACCAAGGATTCACTACGAAGTCGGGTCATGGCCATCGAATGAGTTATGGGTAAAGTAAATTGCAGATTGCCGGCTTTCAATTATAAACAATTTATAAACTTTCCAGTTCTGATCCTGCAACCGGAGTACCTTTTCCCAAGCCCTCTTCACCACGCATTCCACTGTCCGCCGCCTTCCTGATCGAGCTGGTGCACGCCATCTATTTCGCTATGTTTAATGGCTATGGCACGATAGCAATTCAGACACTGGACGACATACACAACCGGGCCATCTACGAGATGTACTCGGAACTGATCCTGGTGACCAGCGCAGTGCGCAATTCGCTGCACGCCAATCCTTCCGGACAGCCCAACGACGGACCTATGGGCCTGAGTGTGGCCTTAACGCCGTCCACAACAACGGTGACCACTTCAGTGTCCAAGTCGATGATTACGAACGCCTCCTTCCGTACGAAAAAACTGCCCGACGACATACCCATCCAGGTGCAGGACCTTACCATGCCGCAGGCTCCGCAGCAGCTGGCCAGTGTCACTGAGGAGGCGGAACCGGGCTCCAAGGAATCGCCCTCCACGAAGGAGAGTTCCGGGACGCGCACTTCCATTATGCGGCCCAGCATGGAGGGCATCAAGGCACAGGCACACAAGGCGCTTATTGCGGGCTTCAAGAAGTCTAAGGACAAGGAGAAAGAGAAGGACAAGGAGCCACCTAAGCCACCGCAGCGCAAGTTCGACAAGCACACGCAACGCAACTCCCTGCTCCAGCTGCAGGCGGAACCCAGCTCGAACTCCAGCGCGGAACAGCCACCCACCGGCGAAGTGTTGCCCCTGCAGACCCTCTCGCTGGTCAACGAGAACGGCAGCAACAGTTTCAGCGTGGACAGCGACCTCAACGACGGCGTGCTGGGCGTGAGTGCGAACACATCCCTGCCCCCGCTGAGCAGCACCACGAACTCGGTGACCAGTAGCGACCTGCTCACCAAGAGCTTTGACTCTAGCATTGAACTGGCGCCGATAGGACACAGCAGCAGCAATGGCGGCAAGTTGGCCGAGCACGGCTTGGCGGAGTAGTGCAATCAATCGTCTCGTTCCAAAGGCGATTAGCCAAATCCAAGTATCAAGTATATAAATTTACATCTACAACTGGGGTGAGTGGATATTGTTGAATACATGATAAATGTAGGCATTGTGAAGGCATTTTTTTTGTAATACAAAGATAATTCTAGGACGTTTCGTTTACAGTTTTGGTCAAAGAACAGCAATATATATTATTCATTATCATTGCCAGTTTTTCAATATATAAAGTAATGTTTCTGGTTAGATGCAATTATATCCCCTGCATTTTGGTCGGACCCTATATCGTGAATACTTAGAATTGTCCCAAGATTACATGCCGACACAAAGATTCACTCACCCTAATTTATGTGTACATTCGCCACCTACCGCTGTGTATTAGCCGAACAAAACCGTGGCGCCAGATTTGAATTTATGGATTAAGGATCGTTTGAGTTTGTTGAATTTGATGGGTTTTCTTAGTTGTTCGTATGTATTATCGTATTCCAAATCCAATTGTTGGTTAGTTTAAGTGTTGCTAGGACGTCACAAGAATTATATATACAAAATGTATACACACGGAACCCTTGGTAGAGATCGTATGCAAATGCTTCAGTAAGAGGGAGAATATGTTCCATTTTCGGGGAACAGAACGTTCACATCCCGGTGCATTTCACTTGTTTTAGATAAGCAGCATGACGCTCACACATTCGATATCTACTCGACATTCAGCCAGAGTTGGGTCCAGGCAATTACAACTGAATTCTACAGGAAGCCTTTTAGTTCTGTCACTTATTAGCATATACATGTGTAAACTAATATATACATACAAATATTTATTGAACGTTGACTTGAACCATGTTATTGATTTAAAATAAATACAAGAACTAAATACGTAACAATGGTCATTATTATTAACCTGTGGTCAAAGGTTTTTCCTTCTAAACTTGCCCTGCAGAAAAATGCGCGGCACATCCACGCCTTCCTTAAGATTTAGAGTGCGTCGGTGGACATAGGCATTGGTGATTACCTCGAAGCCGTTCTCCTCAAACAACTTGGATACTTCCTCCTCTGTAAAGAAGTAGCTTCGGGTGCCATCCTGTCTCACATAGAGGTTCTCTGCAATCTTGTTGCCCGGCTTAAAGCGCAACTGTGCCATGTCGTAGAGTCCGTAGTCCCTGAACAGCAGCAGTCCTCCTGGCTTAAGTAGCTTGCCCAGATTTTGCACCACATCTGCAAACTTCTGTGGATGTATGGCGGAGAGCACAAAGATCATAGTGCAGATATCTACGCTGTTGGCAGGTATGTGCTCATGCACCTGTTGCGTCGTGATATCGCACTGAAAGGCAGATATCTGGCTGGGATTATACAGAGGATTGGAGCGCACAAATTCCACGGCTCGGGGTGAGAAGTCGCACGCGTAGAAGAAGAATCTGCTATTCCTAAAACACCCTTCTTCGCTGGTTTGTTCTTCCAGAAGCGGGAATACCAGATTGCCCACACCGCAACCCACTTCGAAAAGGGTTCGTTTCTCGTGGAACTCCTCCTGGTCCAGCAGCTCCTGGAACTCCCGCGTCGTCCAGTGACGGTCCTTGAAGAAACGAGTCTCATTTCTCTTGTAGAATATATCCCAGTTCCTCTGGGCATCGATTTCCAGCTTGTTCGCTTTGAATTCAGGCACGAGACCACGCTTGTTCTGCTCCTCCAGCTTTTGCTTCTCCACTGCAGACAGTTCCTTCGCTTGGGTGGTAAATACATCCGGTTCTAGTGGCTCCTAAGAAGTAACAGAATTACTAAATATTTTCCAATATTGTAAAACTGTTTTCTTTAATTTACCATCTTTTATTAAAGCAAGTTTCCTGTTCGATACCAATGGGTTTATCTTTCCACGTGTATGTGTGTGACCTAGTGGTGTGATCTGTGGCTCTTCGTCTTTATATTATTTAGATTTCTTTAATAGTTCTAACCCCGATATTTAGGAAAAAACCGTGTTTTATTTTCATGTTTTCGTTTCCAAATTAGGAATGTGTTGGAAATACGGTCACACTGCCATCCATGGGCACAAAATATTTATAAAAGGGGTCACGCAGAAATGCAATTATATTAAAAATTACATTTAATTTAATAGTGTTTTACATTTTTAATTTTGTAGCTCTACAATAATATGTTCTTAATGAAATGTATTAACTATTTTATTCCTATGGCAATTCCACTTCGAGAACAGTAATCGAATATAAAATAGAATTTCATGCGCTGTTATCGGTTTTAAACTGCAACAAATCGTTACTGACTGAAAACAATTCCTTTATTGCATTGAGATTCTTAAAGTTATAAATCGAACATTTTAAATACAGCCATTATGAAAACAACAATTAACAAAAGTGAAATGATAAGCAATGGCGGCAGTTCGCCAATTGCTTTGGTCTTTGGTCGCAGTATGGGCATTGGTTAATACCATAAGAAAGATATCCGGTTTCCAGTTATCTGCCCATGATGGTCGGCTCATCTGCCATAGCCACCTCATCGTTGGGCGCCTTGGCACCCTTCTTCTTGCCAGAATACCAGAGGAACATAACACCGCACAGGATATTGTCCACGAACGTGAACCAAGCCAAGTAAACGCCGTAGCCATAGCTGAAAATGAATAAAACCGTAGAGTATATTATAAATGATCTGGTCTGACTAACTTACGTTAGTTTCGCCCCTTCAGGATACGCATAGAACAGATGCTCCTTGGTGTAGTCAATCGAGGAGAAGAGCACCTGGAGCACCACCAGCGCCGTGGAGGCGGCCACCAGGTGGATGCCACCCGCCAGACGCTTGAACATGTAGCGCGGATTCATGAACGTGTAGAAGGAGAAGACCGCACCCAAGCTCATTACGAACAGAGTTATGCAGGCAAAGGACGCCTGCGTCCGGATGTAGTCTGAAAGGGAGTACCAAGCGACTGCCAATTAGGAGCCGTCGTCTGCGAACACGAACCAGTGGTACCTACCCAATAGTTCGTCATCGAAACCAGGCTCATTTCGCAGTGAATTGGAGTTCGGAAACATATCGATGTACTTGCAGCGCTCTGGGGAAAAGGATTAGTTAAGCAATCAAATGAGGTCCTTGGGTTTTCCCACTCACGGTTCGGGATATAGCTGTAGTAGGCGGGCTGACCCCTCTTGGGCGGCAGCGGTGGCACCAGGATCAGGATCACCCGTTCATCGTTAAGCACGTAGGCCGGGATGCTGATATCCCTGATGTAGGTGCCCAGCAGTCGAACCACCAGGGGGTAATCCGTCCAGTTGCTGAAGATGGCTAATTGCGCCACCTCGGGGATCACGTAATAGGACCAGGTGTTGTTGTACTTAACCCGCTGCAGCGCCGAACCGAAGGTATTCCTATCAATGATTCCCAGCACATCCAGCGGATTGATGGGTATGGGCTTAATGGCCGTGGCATTGAACTGGCGCTGATTCTCCTCGGTGTTCATCACCAGGGAGCGGAAGGCATGGCGCAGCGTCTGGAACTCCATGTCTTCTCCGCGTACCCAGTGGGCAAACATGTGGCGACGCGCCGATTCCGTGAAGTTGTCCGACGTATCCAGCTTCTCCTGAGCGAACTGCTTGATGAAGTCCATTTGCGACAGATTCCGCTTCGCCTCGTTGATGTTCGTCTGCGATGTGTACGACATGGAGCTAAAGTTGCGCACCACCTGGGCATTGCTCATGGCATTGGGCACAATCGTGTTCCGGCAGTGCCGCCACAGTCCCGAGTGCGAGGACATGAAGAAGCGCCGGGACTCGGGGATGAAAATGCCTTTTGAAAAGGGAAGTGAAGTTGTAGATTATGCAATGTTTATTAAAAGTGGTAGTTGTATGCATAATAGTTCTAATCAAAATCACATTGATCAAGTATTTATTTTATAAAGGTTTGTTTACCCTTTCCGCCGGAAATGATGATCCAGTGATCAGTCGAGATGGCCACTATCCAGATCAACAGGGACACCACCATTAGCAGACTACAACCGAGCAGCACCCGCCGCTGGAACATGTAGGCCTCCATCAGCGGACGACGGGCCTCATCCCGGCCGATGGTCGACGTGGACACGTCGCGTTTCATCCTGATTGTGGCACCGGTTCCGGGTCACGCTCCACTCCTAGGGCTCTCTGGACGTTGGCAATGGGCAATCCACACGCACATGGAACAGCGCACGTTCCTGGGGGAGGAAGTTAACCCATTTGTAATCGCTCCCCCGACAATGAAGTCATGCGGACACATCGCACACATGTGGGACATTGTCGGGCGGCGTTTTCATCATTCGGCAGGTGTTTCGCCGGGCCTACAACCCGTCCCATTCGATCCCAGACCTCTCTAATTTAAACAATATTTTATTTTTATACTAAGCAAACAGAAGACAGGCAGGGGAACAGTGTTGGGATTTCAAAAACTGGCAATTAAATGTGTTTTAAGGGAACGGAAAAACCAACGAATTTAGAATAAATAGCGAATAGTTCTGGAAACAATATTAAAATATTGAAATAGAACTCATACATGTAATTTATTAGATAATGGTGCTAAGAGAAGTGCAGTCAACTGTTTATGTACTTTGCTTGTGTTCATTACTTGTTACTTTTGAACTAAACATTTTTAATACTTTTTCAAATAAATGTGGTTTTTACAATTTCGCATCATAGGACTTTATATACTGTGTATATTTTATAGTTTCTAAGATACTTTAAGCTATCTTTAGAGGCAAAATGCCAACCCTAACTTTGCCCTAAACTGTAAGTTCGTCGACCGTAAATCCGCGAAAAGGTGCCCATTAATTATGTTGTTTTGGAAAATCCGTGCTATTTTCTTTTATTTTATTTATGTGTTTGCATACGTGTTGCCAAGACAACCAGAAATTCCCATACGTTCGTCGTTGGTCTTTGACAGAAATTAAGCAAATTAGTAGACACATTCAGGCGAGGAAAATAGATGACAAAAATGCGAATTCCTCTTCAAAAATTATTTCGCCTCTTTGCGGAATATTGCGAGAATTAGGTGCGCCTCCGTCGAGTGGGTGCTCGGATGGATGGATGGATCGTCAGATGGTCGGGTGGTTGTCGTAGCAGGTGGGGATTAGGCGGTGGAGCGGTGTGCGTGCACAAGTGTCATACACATGGTTAGTACTGCCTGCCATGTGGATGCCGTCGAAATATGCCTCCTAAGTTGCGATACCATCATTGTGTCTACCAAAAAGGTCCACTTATACATTTTGTTTATTTGTGGGAAAAACCCAGATTGTTGTTCTCCACTTCCGCAATCTATTCCGGGAATAGATCTTGCAGCTTGCATCATCGGGAGTCGCGGAGTTGCACGCACTTGCGTCACTGAAGTGCGTCATTGAGCTGCATCCCATGTGCCACTTTGCTTCGAATGCGATTTTTTCGAATTTCTCTTCTAGTTTTTGATGGGTTTTTTGTTTTTTTTAGCCACGCACAAGTTACAGCGAACAGTTTGCCTTATTTTTAGAATGACCCACCGCGAGCTTAGCAGATTCCCGGCTGACAAAGTGGAGGAGGCATCAATAATTTACAACTCATTGTCGCATTTGGGCGCGAATGTATTGACACTTTTGACAGGCGGGCAGAAAGTGTATATTTTTTGAAAAAATAAAACAGCGAAATAAATCTCGAAACGACCGCCCGTCCGTCCGCTTATTTATTTATTTTGTGTTTCAGCCTTTGTTTTACTTTCTGTCGGCCATTGTATTTTTGGTTTGTGCCGTATTATTCAGACGTCGCAACACACGTTGAATTCCGCCCCGGCGTAAAAGAAGCGAATTTTGAGAAATGTGTATTTAATTAATGCCCCGCATAAATAATGCCAATGCCAGCGGATTTGGATCAGCACCGCCTCCTGCCCGACAGCCAACCTCATAAACTGTCAGGCGTGGTTACCGTCCGTCAGGTATCCTGATTTATTGTTATATAAGAGCAGCTATACCCCCGGTGTTTACCATTAAAGCTGCACCGATGCAACGGAGATCTCTGGCTCGCTGGCTGGCTGGCGCTGGTCTCAGGCTAATTGTTTATGACCGCTGTGTTTGGTTTTTATGAGCGGCCCGGCACGTTTAAAATAAAATTTTGTTAAACTACCGACTAAAGATCGAGGCGAACAAGCGATAACAACCGAAATAAATGGCTATATTGCCCGTGAAGCGAGCCACAATTGGAAATAAAAGAGCGCGATCTTTGGGCTTTACAATTCCTTGCGATCGACTCGATCGGATCGCGGCGGTACGGCTCCGTCTGCTGCTGGCCAAGGCAGAGCACAGACTGACTGGCTACTAGCCACCAGTGGTTGTCGCTCGCCTGCCTCTTCCTTCGCATTTCTTTTTGGGAGCGCGACGAGCCAAGAAAAAAATAACAAAGGCAGCCATTGTTAGCCAGCATAAACATAAAATCGTTCTACATACGCCTCTGGGAGCGGAATCGGACGTGGGATTTGGGTAGGGCGGAGCTGCCACCTGCAGCAAGCCGCCGAAGGAATTACTCGGGCAGACGTCATCGTTGCTTAATTACGCCATAAACATGAACTCTACTCCGCCGATGATTCCGTTGCTGCGGCAGTGTGCGCACAAATTTAGAACTTAGATGGATTTAGGCATCGCTTTTTTAATGGTACACAGAGCATGGTACATGGGCAGCTATTTTTATATATTTGCCCGCCACGCTAGCCGTACGCCACATTCCCCCGATTTACCATTAAACGTTGACATCGCTTTTATGAATGCCTTTGGCTATCTGTTGGCATGCCATTAGCGCATCGTAAAGCCTGAAAAAGGGGGCCAACGACTGCGCGGAGGATGACGTGGTGTGAATAACATCTAACCACTTGTTGGCCAGCCAGTGGTCATGCCTCGTTTGCCAATTTCTTATGGGTAGATGTATGCTGCTAGCTGAACTATTGCTGCCTATCACAGATGCGGAGTGCGCCCATGTCCAGATTGAGTTCGGTGAGGATGTCGTTGGGCGCGGAGCCCTGCATAGTCAGGCCTGCGATCACCTGTTGCGCCTCCGGACAGTTTATGCAGGCGTTTCGGATGGCTAGGATGCTCCACTCCCGCATCACTGGGGTATAAATAGTAAAATGTTAACTAAGCAATATCTAGAAAGGTACAAAACACTACTTAAGAATGTATCAAATTAGTTTCTTACACGGGTTTCGAGCATCCATCGTTGTGCATTCTAGAAGGGTAGGCAGCAGCTGTGTGTCCAGGCAGTAACCCTTGTTGGCCTTGTTGTCATACAGAAGATTGGCTGAACAGCGTACGAGTAGCGTTTTAAGTTCATAGGAGACCTTTTTTTCATAGCCCGCATCAATGCCCGAAGTGAGGGCCACCTCCTCCAGCTTCGTCATGGGCTTATCCAGGCCGCCTCCATCCGGTTCCTTGCCAGCAGACACAACGCATCTTAGCAGACTGCTGACGTTGATGAACAGCGATTGGTCCGAGGAGTACACATTGGCATACTTCTCAGAGCCGCTGGCACTTGCGATGATGCGCAGTAATGTGTGAACTTCACGGGGATGAAGCTCATGCTTAAGCTTAATAGTTTCGCGCAGAAGACAATCGGATTTCATGCGGAATTCTTTGGCAAAATGCTGAAGCAAAAACAGAGTAACATCGCCATTGGGACTGTTTTCCCTCAGATAGTGGGCCACGTAGTCAAGGAAAGCAACACGATCTTCAGTCTCTAACTTCTGGTAACAAGCTACGCAGGCTCGTCCATTCTGAACAATGAAGTGCTCCAGGAAGAAGTGTAGGTACTCGAAGTTATAGGTGCACTGGGCCTCGTTTAGAGCCCGCCACAGTTGCAAACAAGTTGTAAGTGCCACCAAGTCGGTGATCAGACCACGACCACTCAGGTATATGTTGTACATGATCATGAGGAGCACATTATTGGAACTTCCCAAAGGAGAAGCGTAAGCTTGCTCGGCGATCTTCAAGCCATGCTGACTCCAGGTAAGTGCTTGCGTGGTCTCATTGTTAACAACACTATTGGCCAGCACCTGCAGAGAGAGATTGTGTATGATTCGATGCTCTGTGCGCATCGTTGGATTGAAAGCCAGGGCATCTAAAAAGCTGGAGAACTCCACACTTTCGGCCAACGTCTCCTGATTTTTCCCGCCTTTTGTGAGCAACAGTCGTAGGTTCTTGAGTATTGCCGAAATTTCCTCCTCATTTTCGGTTATGCTTAGGCTCACGAGCTTTTGTACCAGCTCTTTAGTTTCACTTCGCTGAGATAAATCACTTAATTTAATAAATCTCGAGAGAATAAAAATAATATTTACCACATGCTCCATTTCCGATAGACCCACAGCTGTTTGCCGCCAAGTGCAATCGATTGGCCAGTTCGGCACTAGCTAACACTGGTCCAATTGGGTCAAATGAGTGCGGTCACACTGCACTCCACAAAAGAAAACAAAAGAAAAGGGAGAAAAGCAATTTCGTTTTGGAAAATTGACTAAGTCATGTAGCAAACAAAACGCTGCAGCGAAATCAAAACAAACAAAGCAATGTCACTGCGTGCGCTTCGGAAAAGAGAAACAGGCACTGGCTACGGCAATTATAACAACCACTTAGCACCAGCAAGAACTTCACAAGCAACGCTCTTTAAGAAGGCCAGCACAGCAATAACGTCACCGAAGAAATCGTTGCTTAAAATTGGGAACTCCGTCAGCGGATTGGACAAACGGAACCTGTTCCGGGAGCAGAAGCTACTCGGTCGCAAGTGCCACTCGAGTCCTGACCTACGACAAATTGGAAAATACCAAAACAACAGCCTGTTGCGCAGTAAATCGGAGGGGGATGTTAGCTTAATCCTGACCAGCAATTCCGGTGCCCCATTGACAGTGGCAAACGCCAAGTCAGAGGTTTGCCTGCAGAGGATTAGCTCTCACAGTTACGAACAATCCACGAAAACGCCGATAAACAGAAGCGAAATGCTCGGCGGTGCCCGTTCCCACCGCGACCTGACGCAGTCGTCCTATGGTAACCAGCCAGGTGGACATTCCGTGGACTTGGAGTCCAGCTCTAGGACTCCTCGCCGCATGAGCGAGTGTAGCCTTGGCTACAGCCAGTCCAGCTCCCGGCACACAGGCTCAAACTCCATGTTCGCCAGCCAGATGACTCTCTCCTCGGGATCGGTTGTGCCCCCCGTAGACCCCAACGCTGTACTAAGGGTGCCCATCATTGGCTACGAGGTAATGGAGGAAAGAGCGCGCTTCACTGCCTACAAGCTGCGCGTCGAGAATCCGGAGACCAATGACTACTGGCTTGTAATGCGACGCTACACCGACTTTGTGCGGCTTAATAGCAAACTAAAACAGGCTTTCCCCAACCTCACGCTTATGCTACCCCGGAAGAAGCTTTTCGGCGATAACTTTAATGCCGTATTTCTCGACAATCGGGTGCAAGGTCTGCAGATCTTCGTCAACTCAGTTATGGCCAAGGATGAGCTGCGCAAGTGCAAGTTAGTGCGGGAATTCTTTTGCCTAGACGAGCCGCCTTCATACTCTGAATCCATGGAAGAGTGCCGGGTAGGATGATTTCTTTTTCATGTAATTATCACATCTACATAAGATTTTTTTTTCTTCTAGGCAATTTTCGAAGCCCAGGAGGAGACGATCGAGCATCTGAAGCTGCAGATTCGAAATAAAAACGATCTCATTCTCAGTTTGCAGCAGAAACTACGCGAAGAAATGAACGATAAGGAGCAGCTGAGAGAAGCTATGAAGTAGGATTATAATTTCATTTACGTATGCCCAAATCTCATAAGCTCATCTTCCTCTACAGAAACTTAGAGCTTAATTGCTCGCACTGCTCTTCAGCCAATAACAGTTTATGCATGAAATAGAACTCCGACAATGCGAGGTGATAAACAAAGTCCAGTTGGACTTGCGTGTGCGTACATTATGCTGAGCATAACTCTACGCACTGCGCCGCTTGGATGCATATCCAATCCAATAATCCAAACCAAGTGCATATCCAGGGGTTGGCCCCTACAGTGCTTTAGTATTCATATCTAGACCTAGATGCTAGCAAAGTGCTGCCCACGCTGGTACTACATGGAATATGATAGTAGATATTTTTGATATTTGTTTACCAGGCACTTCCAGTTAAGAATGAAATAACTAGATTAAGTGAATACGATATGTTATGCAAACTCACATACAAAATAAATCTAAGGCACAATTTATTATTCAATGAACAATGAACATTGATCAGTTGAAAAATGAATTTACTATTCAAGATAAATATATCAAAGGCACAAAGTACCGCTTATCTAAAAGAAATCCGACGGGGTTTGGATGAATTTCGAATATTATGCTCTAGTGCTAATCAAAATGATAATTAAATCGATTATGGTAATGAACCTATCTCTCAAAGGCTGGTCATGGCAGGTGGTCGGGCATAGGCTTTCGGAATGAATCCATATTTTCGGGTTTTCGGAGCATAAGCCCAAAGCCAGCCATCGACAGTCTGATTGGTTAAGTCTGCGTAAATCCAATCTCCTCTCCGCACAGAAAGGTACAGATCGTCTGGAGCTTGCGCTTTGTAATCATACAGCATCACCAGCTCCGTGCCATGGTAGCGTAGATCATCTGTTCCCAAGCCCAATTGTGGCTGTTGCTGTTGCTGGGTCTGCTGGCCTGGTTGACCCTGTTGCAAAATGGTCTCCATGGCATTTAAAGTGGCTTTCTGCTGCTGCAAAACTCTCACACTGTCTGCAGGATAAATAAAGCTGGCTGGCACAAATCCTTCCTGGCCATCGCTGCGCATTATCCAAAACCAATCGGGATCCTCGCGATTCAGCACAGTAACAAACTCTCCCCGTTCCACGGACAAATCGTTCTCATCTCTGGCTATAAAGGTGTACAAAACGATACAGCGCCCGGACGGTTCCTTCACGAAAGGAGTACATTCTGGCTCCACTAGCAGGGTTTTCTCAATGCTGTTGGCAGACCCAGGATTCAAGGTTTCATCGCAAAGAACATCCAGTTTGTTATCCGTGCCCAGGAGTGGAATATTCTCATCGATCGGTTGCTCTGGACACTGATCCCTTGGCAGTTTCTTCTTTACAGCCAAATCCGCCAGTTGCGTGTTGCAGGGAGCACAATATGAAAAGGGTATGAAACCTTCCTGTCGCGAGTCCTGACCAATCACGTAAACCCAATCGTTCTCTCTGTACAATATATTAACAAGCTGTCCGCGCTTCACTTCCAGTTCATCATCCACGCAAGGAGTAAAGTCGTGTAGCACAACCATCTTGGAATCAGGACTAAAATAGTAAGAACATTGTAAAAGTTAATCATACCAATATTGAGATAGACATACCTTAGACCGTGTTCTTTTTCTATGCCGACTCTAACAAGTGTTTCAATGCTGGAGGAACCAGTTATACGGCCCATGCCCAATACTCCCACAGCTGGCAAGTCCCTTTCTATGCTGGCATTTGTAGCTGCAAAACGGGCAATAAAATGCAATTTTTAAATTTATAAAATACTTAAAAATATCATTTTTTTGTGATTTAATTAAAGAACGAAAATTTCCATAAATAAAAATTGTGTTACATTGTTGTATACATAAAGGTTCCAGCAACAAGTTCGTGATTAAAGTCTTTTGTTTCCGTGCTGCTTTCTATCAACATACCTTTCTTCTTGTCGCGCCTCATGCGCACGGGGCAAAGGAAAGCCATCTCTTCTCCCCGCTCTATATTACACACCCCTCAGCCGAAAAACTGCGAGATTGTGGCTAATTGTTTAATTTCTTTATTGTTTGGGTCCGACACAAGTGCTCTTCTTCTTCTCAATATATTCTGGTGCTAGAGATGGAATACATTCGATTGCCTGATCTCGATGAAGTCGTCCGTTAATCGATTGTCGAGAGGCGCCAAAATTTGAAAACTAGTATGCTTTGTGTGTACGTGTTGGCCCTGCTCTTTCAAGCATGCAAATTTCTAGTAAAGCGTTAGCTGCTCTTGAGCAGCACCTTCGATTTTGGTGCAATGCACCCGGGCCGACGTTTACCTTGATAATTTATTACTTGTGTTTTATGGGCGCGTTCGATGGCCTGAAGCATACAAAAACGGTGATTGTGTTGGGCGATTTGATTAATCCAGATTTTCCAACAGCTCCTATGCTTTTGAGCGACGCAAGGAACTCCTTTGGACTGATGATCTCCTGTTTGTTTTTCGGGAGGAGCGCCGCGGACCATCGCCGAAATTCTCATCTGTGGATTTGTTCTCGTAGTACCTGTAGGTCCGGCGATGTGGTAAGGCATAGTCCAAGGCATGAGTGACCGTTACCGCCTTGTAGGTGCACGCCAAGGACATGATAAGCTTCCCAAAATAGCAGACATCCTGGCGCATAAACATAAATACTTTTGGATAGCCTTCCAAAAGATACAAGGCCACACGAGTATTAAGTGCTATATCCCGAAGCACATTCATTAGGTTGTGGAACTGATGCCACACGAGCACCGCGACCTGGGTGCACACATATAAGCCTAATAGTTCCAGGAGCAGAAGCCACATCTCCTGCAGCGGTGCGCAGTTCATAACCCGTAGATGATGCAGAATAAGCACGGTCGACAGGACGAACAGCGCCGCCGGAAGATCGGGAACATTCTCCATGGGCAGCGCATTGCATCCGGCCACGTAGAGACCCACGCATCCCACGCTGCCAGCCGCCAGTTCCGTGACTTCGTACATTCCCTGCACAACCACCATTCCTGTCGATTTGGGTCAATTTATTTGGGTATATCTATGTCTCTGTGGACGAACGATTAATTTGAGTTTGCTCCGGCTGGTATAGGTTGAGTTTCGAAGGAGTTACTTACTTTCCCAGTTAGTCAAGGCTACATAGCCAGAGTCTACTGGGTTCGTTTGAAATTTATACAAAATTTGTTTTTAAGATTTAAACTAAAATTTTGTAATGCTATGCAACATAAAATGGTAGAGATATCTGGAATTTTTAAACACTACTTCTAGCAAGATATGCATAATTTAAAGTGTATTTCAACCCCTCTACCCCACTCAGACCCAATCACTCTAAGCGAGCGTCACTTGCGCTATTGGCCAGCATTGAAAAAAGTGGGGCCAATGCACTATTTTGGTGCCAAGGATAAAACTTTCGCATGCAATATTCGATTATAATTCAGCGAGGAAAATCCGATGGAAAGGGCAAGGAAACGGGGTGGCAACGAGTCTCAGCAAGAGAGGATGGGTTCAAAGAGAGAAAGTGTCCAAACTGACCTACACTTCGGCGTATCCCCATGTGCACATGCCCCAAACTAAATTGCGCATTAAGCATCTCGAGCATTATCCCACCAGCGGCAGTGGCAGCAGCACCAGCACCAGCAGCAGGTGCCACACCCCCAAGAGACCCCCTTCAACTTGACTTTTGGCTACTACGCAGTTGATTCCACATCCACATCCGCATCACATCACCCATCCCGCAGTGCACATCCCAGAACTCATCCCCATGCCCTATCCCAAGTTTTATTAGAGAGAGCTGTCTGCGTTGCGAGTTAATCGATAGAGAGGATTCTGCGCAGTCCTCCAGTCCTCGGATGCCATTCACAAAAAGGGGCGGCCAGTGGGCGGGGCAGGAAGTGGATGGGTGGGCGAATCAAGTGGGTGGTCGCCTTGCCCACTCATCATGGCTGTTGTGTCTGCGGGTAATTGTTGCTCGGACCTCTGATGGCCAAAAAATGAGACTAGACAGCGGGCCAAATTAAGAGGAATGAGGCGGAAAATGGGGTAGAATGACAGCTCCGGTCGGAAAAAGTGGCTCACTGGCTTTGTGGGTCAGCTATTTTCGGTTGTCACGCATATTTTAATAAAATATAAAGCCCGGAAGTGAATCCAAATTCAGATGCAACAGTCGCCCTCGCAAAATTGTAGCATAAATTTTTGTAGCAAATGACCTTGAAAGCTTCGCACCCCTAAATGATGCAACAAAAGTGGTGAAATGCAAACTTCACGACCTTGTGGATGATATATTTCATAAGCGTACATACATAAAGGTCTTTGTAAGTTCCAAATCGTACATTATCCTTGAATTATAGTCCATCCGCTGACAATTTCACTAAAGGACTCTTCCCATTGGTTTACCATTTTGAAATGGTTTTGCACCTTTTAAAATAATTATACCTCTAGAATTACATTTTACATATGAAAAAAAGACATATAATTTCCCTTATTAAAATTTTTCACATCAATTTAAAGTAAATTAAGAAGGAAAGCAAAGCATTCCTTTCAGATTGCACTTTGAATTGGGCAAGGAATTTGCCATTTCATCACATCGTTCCCTTTCAAAAATTGTGTAATGTAGTTGGCGAGAAAAGAAAAAAGGGGTTGGAAAACTGCAGGGGCGGTGGATAATAGAGAAACAAACCATATTTTGGCTCAAAAATACTGAATGCACGTATTTCGATTTCGCTAAAAATGTTTTGCCATTGGCAAAAATCCAAAATTTATACAGATTTTAAAGAGGGATTATTGTGTGCATATGGAGGTGCATATATGTATGTATATACCTATACGTATAAATGGATTTGCTCAAGCACTTGGCCTGGTCAAGAAATGGATAAGTGAAAGTTTCTGGGCAAAGACTACGACTCGGGAACCACAAAATGCGCAATAAGAGCTGTCCTACAAGTCTATAAAAGTTCAAAATCCCTTTTATGCCCGTGCCCAAGCATCAATTCCGGATTTTCACTATCCGCCGCTCGCCTGCAACATTGTCAAATGGCACGTATGAGTTTACGTACACTGAGAAAAAAATGCACTACTTAAAAATATATATTTTTATATATTTATATGTGAATATATGTACATAGAATATGCATGCATGTTCAAAGAAGCGCATCATAAACGTGCAGGTGGTGTTTTTTAAAGATTCCAGTTTCAGGCCGGATTTAGGGTATTGTTCTGTTCAATTGTTAAAATATCAGTTGCTAAACAACCACCAAAAAATCTTCATCATGCCGGCCAATTGAATTGGTCCTGGATGTAATTTGGAATCATTTGCTGTGGATGATTTTGTTTATTCCTTTGAATATGGTCTATTCCACACCCACAACGTAACTTTCACGACTGAATAATAAATATTATCTAACATAAATTACGAAAGAAAATCAAACAGCTCCAACAACATTGTATATTTTTAGGTGAAGCAACACGGGCAAAGATCTTTGAAGAGTATCCCAAGGATCAAAGGAACATTTCGACAGCATTTAAAAACTCTCTGCGGATAAAAACTTTAGGATGTGATATTGGTCTAAGTGAATCCACAGTTTATTAAAAGAACCATATACTTCCAAATTAAAAAGTAATCGTAGTCAAATCAAAATCGTTTCGGGTAATGTCTTATGGAACTATAATATTATTTATACTTTTATCTCACTGCATGATGCATTAAAAGAGCAGCAGCACTAAAGGATGTGGGGGAACGGCTCTAAGTGTGCGTTCAAGGACGTGCATGCATTATGGGCGAGCATTCCGCAGCGAATCGAGGCATTAAGCCATGAAATGCGACCGGGGCCAAAGGCAAAGGGTCTGCTATCTGAAAAGCAGAGGGAAGTGTTAACGCTGCGTATGTGCGATATTTAATTATCGCGCGAAGGCGTGACCAAAGGGGCGTAGGTGTGCCGTTGCAGCCACGTCCTTGCTTACTTTTCGGAGAGATTGGTAGGATAGAGAGAGAGCAAGACCGTTGGAGAGAGCAGCTCCACGAACGAAGGGAGCCGAGAGCAGACTAAGTCACACGAAGCCTGTCGCTTTCATTCAGTAGAAAACGAACTCTCACTCCTCTCCCTGCCCCTGCCCAACCACCCTCACCCAATTCCATTTCCACCGGATGATTTGGCGCTCTCTCCCCTCTTTTTGACTACGCTGCTTTAAGCACGTGCGCCCGTTAGTTTTCCGCTCATTCGATGTTGGTTTCTCGTCCGGTGTGGTTCACAATTTTCTTTCTGTCGCACTGTACGCATTTCCTCTATCCGTGTTTGTGTCCGTGTGCGTGCGAGTGAGTGTGGGAAGTCAGCAACAACAACAATTACCCAAGAGAGCGAGAGAGCAGAAAAATCAGCCGAAAATTAGGTAAATAGCGGGCGCAAATGTTGCAACTGGTTAAAGGGGTAAGGCGCTTTAAAGCTGCACTCGAAAAAAAGTAGTGAAGATGCCATGTGGTTGATATTAAATATGTATGTACATATATGTACATGTAACGAAGTTGTTCTTCGTAAATTCAAAGTTCCAAATAGATGGGTTAATGGGTGCACTTAGAAAAATTGCACACGAGCGAATTATATAGAATTATATAGTACATTGTATTGTATAGTATTATATTATATAGAATTATATATTGTGTTATTCAATTCTGTCTGATTTATCAACATTTTACAAAATTATCGATTTTTAACGATATTAAATTGCTCACACTTCAATAAAACTGACTAATTTTATTGATTGATGATTGTTTACCTCTGTTTATCTAATTTTTAATTTTCTTGGCATCCCTTGTGTTGTTTTGATAGATTTATCGTCCTAGTGTAGATCTTTACAACATCCGAATAGGGATTATTGCACCTGGGTCGATTGCATCAAGGACTTACGAGGGATAAAAAAGAAGTGGGATAGCATTGTGCAAAGTGAGGGGTGCTGGGTTTTTAGAACTGCAGGGCTCCTTTACGCCTTTTTTGGTTTTATTTGCGAGCACACACGCAAGCAGAACGTGTTTTCCTTTTAATGTTTACATTTGTTCGTTTTCTGTTTTGATTTTATTTATTTTCCTTTCCCGAAATAAAGCAGAACATATAACATTTTTTTTGTTTTCGAATGTTGTCTGCGACGTCAAAGACATTTTAATGTATTAATATATAGTCATATATGTATATATGTATGTACATATATAGCTTTTTAAGCAAATGGAGAAAATTTCGCATGTTCATTTTGTTATTTTTTTAAGGCACGCAAAATATCCGCCTTGGATTAAGTGCCAGACATCATCAATCAATTAGTTATTTGATGGTGATATTAACAGGCTTGGCATTATAAACATGATGGCATCGATATATAAAGGATAATCCATAGAACAGTTTGATTAAGTGCGTTCGTGACTGAATGTTGCAGGTGTAGGTTGATTACTTGCGATATCAGAAGCAAAGTTGAACTACATATTTTAAAAACCCATTCAAAAATTGTTGTATCATAAATAAGAAACAATTCATCCATTTAATATACCTATCTTCCTTTGCTTTCCTGTTCAATTTACGGCATTTTCGCAGAACTTCCAGGAACACAATCTGTTCTCTTTCAATTGTTTTCGTTTCATGTGCATAATCAAATTTGTTTATGATTCCCAACCGCATCAATTTAAATGCAAATCTGCCAACTGGCCATTGGCAGAAACTATTTACTTCGTTCAACCCCCCTCCCCTTTTGTAACGCCTTCTCGTGTTGGGAATTTCTCGAAAGTTCTCGAGGGCTCATTGGGGGAATAAGAACTTGACACCCGTAAATTATTGAGCACCACCCCTTTCTCCGCTTTTCCAACTGTAAATTGCATCCAATTGGTTTTGATTGCTCAATCTGGTGCCGCACTTGTTGGTGCTATTTTTGCATGCTTAGATTGCACAATCGGGCTTTGAAGAATCAAAGGTTTTCACGCGAGTCCTAATTGACTTTTCTATTTTCAGCTATGGATAAACAGAATGCAAAAATGTATGCAATTGCCGTCATAAGTTCGCTCATTGAGATTCGCAATTGAAATTCACTTCACCGAAATGAAAATGAACCCAATGAGCATTTAGTCAAGTGAGAGCGAGCGAGAGAGATGCGCCGCCAAGTTAACCGTTTCATTTGCAACGTCA